AACGAGGAGACTTTTGTTATTAAACTCAAGCTATATATAATTGTCGTCTTATATAGAATGAAAGCTATATATAATTGTCGTCTTATATAGAATGAAAAATTGAGATTTCTCTCGAGTTTTATCAAATTTTCGGTATTTTAGGACTATTACCGAATGTTGCAGAATCAATGGTTAGGTACTATCTTCTAAAATTGAGTAAAGAACGACTTCAAATTAAGCCTTATATGCAAACAAATATCTTTTTATTGCTAGTATATTCAATGTGATGTCACATTTATTGAAAGATTCAATATAAGTTTATGCGTCTTTACTTTTTGACAAAATTTATAATTAGCGGTATTTATTAGACATCTGAGAACCATATAAATCTTTTTCATACGTTTCTAACCTACTTTTTGAATGGAAATCGTCTTCAGAAAACAATATATGTAAATTAATGAAAGGTTGAGGAAGGTTGGGAACAAAAGTAGAACGTTAAACAAAGATTGAAGAATTTAGTCGTTCATCTTTATTGATTTATCCGAAAAGTGTATCTAGCTATGTGGTGTCGGAATATTTTCCTCTTAAATGTAGGAATCATTTTCTTTATGGTATGGTAATGAATCAGAAAAAAATATTTCCAATTTACTGATTTTTAATTATGTAGGTAACGAATTTTTTGAAGGAAAATTAGGTAAAATATTAAGCATAAATTCTCTATACATTGATAATATATATATTTTTTCCCTCATACCTTGTGATAGAGGAAAATTTTCTAAAGAAATTCTTGTTTTCTTTATGGCTTGTACAAAGAGTAAAATATTGTGGGTATTTTCCTATAATATTTGATGATTTGGGTGAACTAGAAATTATGATTTTATAACTTTTCGTATAGTGCGACATTTCTTTATTACATCGAGTATTCCTCAATTTTAGAGTTTTCCGTGTAAATCTTTGTGTTGTTTTTCTTTATACATTTTCATTATTTGAACGAGAATCTTGTGGGCAAATTACGAAATTTGTCTCAATTCTCATCCGTTATTACAACACAATTAATTTACGATTTTATTTTAGAAAATGAATAAACCAAATTAAAAATTCACAAAAATTGAACTTTATTCAATGTCGATATTCATGCGTTTTGTTGCCAATATAATTATAAATTATAACACTTTTTTTTTTTTAAATCATGAACATAACTTCAATTTTTGAGCATATCAGACATCTTAGGTGCAATTTTTAGGTTTATGATCATTACAGAACATTTTACATGTTTTTGCCTTTCGTTCAAATGAAAGTATTACCATGCATTTGGGAGATCCGATGGAACAAAAATCTGGTTGTACTGCAAGAATAGAATGGGACGTATTGTATTTCTGATGACTAAAATAGAAAAGACAAATCAAAAATTTCTGTCTACTTCGTTTCTTTTGTTTTGCAGATGATATTTGACACGAGAGAAGTACAGTGACAAAGGAAAATTGCAAATAGTTAAGATCACACTATGGGATATGGCTATTTGGATTTTGTGGGGGAGAAGTGGGGATATGCGTTAGACAGGTTCTTGGATCTTGGAAAGTAAAGGTCGCCGGTGGAGGAGATGATAATAGAGGATTTTTAGGTATCCATGTCCTTGGATCTCCAGGATTGAATGCTGGAGGAGGAGGGGATGAAAGGATTATTCGGGATCCAATTTCTCGGATCACCCAAGTTAAATGTGGGCGGAGAAAGCTACTGTTAGAATATGCAATAGAAACACATCACACGGATCATTATCCAAACCCCAGCTGATCCTGTTCGTTCATCATCTTCAGGCCTCCTTCCAGCTGTAAACAGCTCACATGCTTCCAGTTGTAATGTAGTTAGTTAGTTAGTTTAGTTGATAGATTAGTTAGCTAGTTTTCTCTATAAATAGACAATTATGCTTTGTAATTTCTCTAAGTTGAATGAATGAAATGTTCATCCTCTTCCCTGCAACTTCCAGCAGGTTTATCCTCTTTTATTTTTGATAGCTACGCTGGTGTTGGGGTGAAAGGAGGATGAGGTGGGAATGGAAAAGGCAATGACGGTGGTTTTGGAAATGGCAACGACGTGAAAGGTGGCAATTGAGGTAGCTGAGGTAACGGTGAAAATTGAGGAAATGGAGGCAGCTGAGAGAGGGGAGGCCAAACGAAGCCCGTGAGGAGGAATTAATGAAAAGAAAAACTATGAAGACTTGAAAGAATCTGAAGAGTCCATTTTGTGATTCCCACACAAGGTTACTGGAAAGAAAAACTTGGAAGACTTGAAAGAATCTGAAGAGTCCATTTTGTGATTCCCACACAAGGTTACATTTCTTGTCCTTGGTGTATAAGTCAATGCACCTAATGTGCAAATACACGCATTTTTCTGTCTTGATTTAACTGTTATATCAGTAGACATGCTCTTTTAAGGAAAATGTTGCTTGTACCACCTGATTTACGGAATGCAGAGCGGCAAGATCTCAGAAGCTGGTTTAACTTTATTTTTTGTCCAAAATGATGTGAGATCTTGCTACCTATGCATTATGGAAACCAGGTGGTCCAAGAAGCACTTCCGGCTCTCTAAACCCGGAACATTACAGGCAGAAATCGAGCTTCATATCTAGACAGAATGTTTGAATAGATGACTCTTCAGCACAATCAACACCATCAACGGACTGTATATCCAACTTGTACATTCCAAATTTCAGTAGTTCTGTTAACTGAGAAAGCAATTTGTTTTGTAGTTCCCGGTGAACTCGCTTGGAATTGGCACTGCACGTGAACATCTAAACCTGATAAGCACAGTCAACAACCACACCAATCAGTATGAAACACATTTCGTTTTATGGGTCTTGTCTAATTTTGTACACCAAAGATTGCTCGCAGAGTTACAACCCAGTATAGATAGACTGGTTCTTGATATTTAAGTGATTTATATTTACCGAATGTGTAGTCGTAACATATGTCACAATATACAGAACCTATTATAGTAATAAGCGAAGTGGGATTTTGAGGCTCAGCTTGTAGGAGACTGGGAAAAACGAATAAAGTTGCAAGAAGAAAGATAAAAACTGTATCCACGGTAGAAGTATAAGGGAGGACAATTTAGCTGTATCGGGATGCATCAAATGATAACTGTACTATATAGAATGACAATGAGAATTTGGGTTTTGTATGCATAATAATGAATCTATGAGTGGTTGGTGTTATTACTAACTGTAATCAGAATTTGGTATATCAGTTCACTACAAAACGAAGGCGTGTGAAGGCACTTTTTTTGCAGATTGTGTGATGGGTTTGGCACTTTTTTGTTTGAGGGGACTACATCTCCTCATTCTCGAGACTATAGGCCACTATCACAGCATCTACTGATGCTTAAATAAATTTTTGATAAGATTGAGTATGTTTGATAGGTCATACTCGATTGGACAGTATAATAGCAAGCTTTTAATCAATTCTTTTCTTTGTTCGAGTGTTTCTTGGGAGCACAGCGTGGATTGTTCCAGCATCATAAGTCATGAACATGGACTCCAGATGGTTGAAAACGGCATTCAAATGATATACATGTGTCCTTACTTGAAAGTTTAAGATTTTATATAAAATGGTCATGATATTAGAGCTGTCAAAGGACTTGAGTTCAACTTTCGTCGCTGTTTATTTAAATGAAATTGTGTAGGATAAGGTTTTGATGAGAAACAAAATAAATATTGCTTACACATGAGATGACGCGTTGAAGATAATATTTAAATAATATATGTGACATGTTTAACTGTCTATGCTTTAATTCAAATATTTAACATAGATGAATTCACTAACCCTTCTTATCCTATAAAAGCAGGGCATTGAATCGATAACCATATTTCGGCTAACTTATTATCGTGTATCTCCCTCGAAACCAATAAGAGATGGATCATAAATTTTCATATTGACATTGTTGTTAATATTATTTGCTACCATATTGTATAGTCGACTCTAATGAAATAATTTGTGCATGGCCCACACAATATATATTTATTATTTAGTAAGGTTTTCCAAATATTTGGACGTGTAATTTCTTCATCTACTAGTAAATGAAACAAAATTATTTACTAGACAGAAAAATATGAGGTACTTTAAAAATAAGTAACTTATATTTAGCCCCTTTAGGTTTAGCTAAAAATCATATCTTTAGTAGATTATGATAAAATTTAATAAAATATATGATTGAAACGTTGATAAAAATTTTGAATCCCATAACATATATNAAATATATGATTGAAAAGTTGATAAAAATTTTGAATCCCATAACATATATGATTAAAATTAATTATTGATTTTGATTTCAATTTTTATCTACTTTTTAGACTTACACCAAACAGTGACTTAATTTTGTTTTAATAACAAAAATTATACTAAAATTTTCCACGAAACAATAAAAAGAGGTCTTTTCTTGTATATTGGGCTTAAAATGTGAATCAATACTTCTGTAAAAAATACGGCCCTTTTATCATGGGCTCTCTGATAAGCCCAGAGTTACTATATTACCACGGGCCTCAATATGTACAAACTATTTTTCAGGCCTTTTTATTAGCAAATGACCTGTGTTATAATGTAAAACGTCTTTATCGTTTGCCTTTTTTGCACAAATCGTCTTTAAATTTTGACAATCGGACTTTCAGATCGATCAAGCCTTGTGGAAGTGGGTGCGTGCTCTCCACATGACATAATTTAGAGCAGGGACAGATCCAGGACCGAGTTACAGGCGGGGGTAATATGTAAAAAAATAAAAATTACACATAATTTTTTTTTCTAACTTAAAAAAAATCAGTTGGGGGCGGNGTAGCCCGGCCCAGCCCCCCTCCATCCGTCCCTGATTTAGAGGGATAAAAATGTTAGTTTACTTGAGATTCTTTCATACTTTCGGAGGAGTTTCGATTTTTCATACTGCCTGAAAAATCTTAAAACATTTTGACATGAAAACAAAGTAGTACTTACTACTAGTCTTATTCCACATATTAAGGAAAGCATTATATGTATATTTCAAAGCCAGAGAGCTCCAGCATTCTTGAGAAGTGGAACCAGTGTGCCATTAATATGAAAAGTTATAACTCTATCCATTGAACCAACAAATTTCCCTCCAATGAACACTACTGGAACAGCAGTACCAGTTGAAGAACTCAGTGCCCTCTCAATTTCTTCACTTCTTGGATCTTCATCAACTTCATAGACTCTTGGATTTACTCCCATTCCATAAAAAAGTACCTTCACTGCATGGCACATACTGCATGTACTTTTGCTGAATATCACCACCGCACTTCCAGCCGCCACCCTCGCCACCCACTCCTCCGCCGCTGTCTCTGGTGGAGGATACCATTCTGTGGCTTGATTCTGCATTGTTACCTGGTTTTAAAAGAGAATGAGTAGAAAAGCAAGTGAAGAAAGAAAGAGTATGAGGATTTTGAATTTGGATAATGGTTAGTGTCTTAGTGAAGAATATATAGTGGAGGGATGAGTTGGATGATTCATGACGTAATATTTAATATTGGGTGGATTTGACTGTGGATGTAATTTCTATGACGCAATAATTTTTTTTCTTTTTGGAATTAATTTTTATTGCATCTTTTTATTTTTATTACTATCGCCATGACTTACTCATCTCATAATTCATTAAATCAAAAATTCGTGACTCATATTCTCGTTTCCGAACTAAACGACTAATTTCAAGAATTTCGTGCAACAACGAAGAACAAAACATTGTTGGCATCAAAACTAGTAATATGATCGTAATCTAATGAGCACCGGTGTTTAGGATAAGATGAGCACCGGTGCTCATTAGATCATTTCTGTATATATATATATAAATTTTACGTTTTAGAATATTTACATATATATAGAATAATTTTTAATATTATTTAATTAAATGTTAATAAACGATATAGCTCTTACGATCGCTGATTGTCAACGATCAACATTCGGTCCGTCCGTGCTTAACTTTTGTGCTAGGTCCGCTACTGAAAGTATGCAAGATATACTTGGAAGAGTTTGTTTCACATTTACATTACATCACATGATATATTTTATTTTAAAATGTCTCCGTTATATAATAATTGATTTCATAAATCAATAAAATAATATTTCTAGTAATTAAAAAACACATTTGGCCGTCAATACGTTTTTATAGGGATAGTTTGTCAGCTACCGTCAATACGTTTTTATAGGTAATCCGTAGGTATTTCTGAAATAAAAACAAAAACTTAATCTATAATATTTATGAATGATATTTTCATAGGTAACATTAAATTATAATTCATTTCACTTTCTCTTCTTATCAAATGTACATTTTCTAATAAAATAATATTACATTTAAACAAAAAAAAAAAATTTCTTCTTTTTTAACCATACATTCTCCAAAAAATTAGTCTTCTTCTCATTAAAATGTGGAATAATGGGGGGCCAAACGGGTGATTAGTGTTTATTGGGACAGTTTGTGAGCAATGGGTCCCACACCCCATGTGAGAGGTGTGTAGCCACTTATGTACAATTTGTGATGTACAAGTAGTATTTTTGTTAATTCAATTAGGTGCACCATAATAAAAGAGATTTTGTTTTAATCAAAACACTACTTAAGCAGAATAGGGAATTTATTAATAAATTGGCCGACGGAAGATATGGAGCGACTCAGCTGATATTCGAACTCGGTGAGATCCAACTCTCAATGGATATTAACTTTTCTCCTGTCCATGCATATGTTATCCACACACATGGACAATCATGCTAGACTGCACAAAATGTAGCTTTGACGAGTGTGCGACGACCACGTACACTCCGAGTCTCGACACCCAAGTCATAAGAAGAATTATATTGGATGTGAGAGAGACACAATGGTTGGAAGTATATTGGTGTCGAATTGAAGATTGCACTTACACACACTTACACTTAGCCTTACTAGTTACCTGAACATACTCGCACATGGACGTTTTTGCTAATGAGAAAGGACCAAGTATTTAGTAGATCTTTACTAGATTTTACTAGATTTTTAATAAATTGTGATGGAAATTTTTGAAATGTGTGGTTGAAAAGTCGTGGGACCCATGAAAGATGTGGTTAATATTGATTGTTTGACTTTGATTTAGATTAAAATCTGATTTTCCAAAACAAACAGGGCATTTGTAAATTCGTCTAAGAATGTATGTAAATCATTACTACATGTAAAATTTTGATTACTAGATTTTACTAGATTTGTAATAAATTGTGATGGAAATTTTTGAAATGTGTGGTTGAAAAGTCGTGGGACCCATGAAAGATGTGGTTAATATTGATTGTTTGACTTTGATTTAGATTAAAATCTGATTTTAATCATAAACAAACGGGGCCTTATATGTGGGAAGAAGGTAGAATTCTGTTTTGGATTCTTGCCACATTCCTCATTCTAACGCCTCACTACTCTTTTTTTTTTTTGTAATTCTGTCAATTCATAGCCATCATAAGACCATGTTTGAACCACATTATTTTTCTCATTCTCATTCTTCTACTCATTTTCAACCACACATTCTTTAATAAAATAATATTTTTCATCACATCAACAAAAATTTAGCTTTCAAGACAAGCTAGAGTACTCAATTATTCAGACTTTAATAGTTAATTAAATTTTGGGAAAAATGTATACAAAACTCAAGTGGGTCAAATGGTTTACAAATCATTTTTCTGAAAAAATGAGTTAAATTTTTATGAAAATTAATTTTTTTTGCTTTTTGAAACTAACCAGAATTCTGAAATGTATTGAAATAATATTGGGCCTGGATGTTGTAGCCCAAATTGAGCTTATTTAAAGGCCGACCCTGATAAGAGTGGGCTAAATGAATTGTCTAAAAATTGGCCCAGCGTCTTCTGCAAAACAAAAGTGCATATCCTGTAAGCGTTATTATTTCTCACCTTGCGTATTTTCTGAATTTCATCATCAATTAAGCAGAAAATACCTTAGGTTCTGTTTGATTGAAACAAATTTCACTTTAACTGTTTGATTGTAACGTGAAAATGGAAACCGAATTCCAATGTACAACCACTTTAAGCTGCATTTTCTTTGTTTTTATGAAAAACGATTTCATATGAATTTGGTGGGTTTTTGTTTTCCAACTAACATGGAATTAGAATTCTTTTTCACCTCTACCTATCAAACGGACCCTTAGTGAAGTATGCAGGAGCTATTAATCACATGATGAAATGTATATATTATTGGTTGTGTGCAGGTTATTAATTTATTTGCTTCATGATCAAGGTCTATTTCTTGGCCAATGGAAGTGAGAAGAAATTCCCTGGATGAAGCAATAAAACTGTGTTTGTCAAGCTGCCTCAAAAGGAATTGATTCTGAGCTATAAAAAAATTAAAGAATCAAATAAGTTTAAGACCTTCTCCCTGTTGTTTCTACTCTGCATATGGAACCTAGCTTGCCTTAATACCCTTTAGGACACTTATATTCACTACATTTTAATTGCACTTAAAGCCCTCGATCATTACTTGTTGTAGTAGTTATGTTCCTAAAATTTTTTAACACATTCTTATCATTAACTTTCCATTAATTAGCATATCTCATGTCTGATAAGGACCGTTGAGAAGACATAAAATGACTTATTCGTACATCACATTTTTAAAAAGTAATAAATGCAAAAGTGCGACAAATTCTTTTCAGGTGATTTTAAAGCAGACAAATAAAACATTTTGATAGAAACCGTCTTCAAGAATGAGATGTGCGATTAGTTAAAGGTTGAAGATAATTGCTCGATGAAAAAAGATTTAGGAACATAAATTAATTGCAATTAAAATGTGGTGCCAAAAAAAAAAAAAAAATTGGTTGGAATAAAATTACCAAATTTTATTAGAAGAATCGCATTTTTTATCTTGTCTTAATTTTAATTATAATTTTCTCGCAAAAGTCAAAATGTAAAGTCATGCCTTCGTCTGCTTCAAATATAAACTAATATATTGTAATGAGATTTATCAAATATGTAACATTTAAGGTAATTTTTATTCATTTTTATAATAAACACTTTTAATACCCTGTAAGTGACGTAGAAGCAACTCTTCATTTTCAACAAAGTCAAAGGATAAAAAATAAAAAGGAATAGGAAAAAGTGGATGAAGATTTCCTTATCCATAAAATTCAACCCTTTTTGTCGTGAATTCTAATAGAAGAAAGGAATATAACGCACATAAAATACGGTGGCTTGTAATCTACATTACGTAGTTGTGCTACTGAGAAGCAGTATAAACTTATATAGGCGTATTTTTGCACAACATTATTTGGGCAGAGTCGAATAGGCAAAAATCAGGTCAAGTGGAGCATTTTTAGGTCACGCTAGTCTGTTTTATGCCTCTACGGAGAAAGCTTACACTCTGTATAAAGAAAATAAGAAACGAAAAAAAAAAAGGAAAAAGAAAAGTTTATTCTTGCATGCTCAATAAAGTGAGGTTCTTTTGTGAATGAGCCGCACGTGAACTTGGAAGCAAAAGGCAGTAGGTTTAGAAGAAAGAGAGAACAATTGGAATGCCTCTTTGAGGAAGTTTCTTCAAAGAAGGCTACATACTATTAAAAGTTGAAACAAAACCTTTTCTTTTCACTTTTGGACAGTTATAACCATCTCTTTATGTGGAAATTAATAAAAGTGGAACCTTGTACATGTATGATGCATTGTCTCAATTTTATATTGTATACGTAAATATTCTAGTAGTAGTTGGAAGTGGAGAGTCGACGCTTTGATTTTCTTCGTGGAACTTCCAAAAGATCTTTTTACGTTATCAATGTCTAAGAAGTTTAATTTAACAATCAACCTTCTATTTACTATAGACAGAAACAAATAAATGCAAAAATAATAATAATAAAAAAATTAAAAACAAACAAAAAAATAAACGGTAGATGAGAATGATCGACCTGACCCTATTGCCATCCCTATGCATATGAGTACGTCAGGTTAAGAGTAACAAAGAAAAAAACACGTGAACGAATTTGTTAGTTACATTTAATCGGTATATCATGAAATAAATGCATGTATTTAAACGATACAATGAACGTATCTTTCTTCTTTTCTTGTGGGCAAAGGTATATATAGTCAAAGAAAGAAATCGGATGACAATCTAATTTAAGGTTATCATAACATTTACCACATTGAAAACATGTATTCTTAAATTAGGGGTTACCTATTACTAGGGAAAGGAAATTATTTCTTGCAAATTTTCTGCATTTGCTTGTGAAGGATTGACAAAATTAGCTTTGAAATAAAGAAAAGAGGAGCCATTGATCCCACGGAATCAAGCAATGATCTCAACGAGGAATTTTTGTCATTAAATTGTGCAATTGGTCAACTAGATTTTATTGTGACTTTTGAATTTCCCCACCCCC